TTTACAATAACTTGGAATGCGTTCTTGTAATAAGCATTGAATAATGCTAAAATGGGACATTTTCAATGCCTCACTGCTCCTTAACGAGCATGGGCACGCCCCCTTTTTTTTATAAATAAAGTTCTCCTATGATAACTATTCATTGGACAAAGTTTGAACAAAAATCTATGGCAGTTTTATTTCAGGGGAATTACCTTAATCGGTCAGTGTAAAACTCAGACTGTGGGCTGTGTGACTGCGTACTGTAGACCAAGGGTAAAATGCAGACTGAAGGTAAAATGAGGACTGCAGACTTCAGATTTTTTAAGTATATAATATTATCATGTTATTTCCATAACTATAAAGAGCCTGCTCTCCAGTTTGCCTGAATATCACTCTGGTTAGCCTGAATAATACTCCAGTTAGCCTGTTTAAAGTTAGCTCTGTTAGTTCTCAATGATGGAAATGGTAACATGATTCAGTGAAAGTCCACAGTCTTCATTTTACCCGTGGTCTGCAATCTGCATTTTACACTTGGCCTGCAGTCTGCAGTCCACAGCCTGCCATTTTATACTGCCTGACATTTAATACAAGTAGTTGTAACTTTTGTTAATCCAGACCTTATCACCATGCCTCCCCTCAATTGAGACCACACACCTAGTTGAAAACAGTTTTATACCCTATTCATAAATGGCTGCCAATTAAAAATTATTTTGTAAGTATTAAAATTAGCCCAACTTACCTCGTTTTTGAGTTGATAATTCAAAATCATTTTTCTCTCAAATGAGGTTAGCGGGGCTAATTTAAATGTATACAAGAGAATTTTAAATTGGCAGCTATTTATGAATAGGGTCTATTGTTATGGCTAGATGTATAATCTGGATTAGGTGATATATTGGTAAAGCTTAGTCTGGGCTTTATGTATCAATATGAACAATGAGTTGTTCATTGATGATTTAGTTGTACTTATTTGTCTGAGTAATCTTACCTAGAGGACCTGTTTGTTTATTCAACCAACTTAAATACGTACATGTACTTGCAGAAAAATTGGGTGGGGGTCTGCGGCCTGCTTCCCATGCTCTTCTGAACACTGGAATTAAACCCTTAAATGAGACCAATCTGGGTGTGGCTCAGCTTTATTTGACCCTGAAAAGGAACCACTTAAAATGGCATAGGCTCGATTATCAGCCGCTGTTTGGTAAAGGAGCCTGCGCTAGTACGCCGGACTCGGGTTTACTTTGACAGCTAAAAATAGCAGCGTTTCCTCCTGAACAGCCTAAGTGAAACCAGAATCCTTGAGTTACAGCCGGCCTAGAGGAGACGACGACCATCCAAGACCTGTTCAAACGGGAGGACTGGTTTCTGTCAATAGGTGACTCTGAGGTTTCCAGCTAGCAAGAAATTAGCTGGGTAACAGATATCAATTTTCAGACCCGTAGGGTTCCCCTGACGGGATAAAGTTTGTTGTTGTTGTTGTTAGTTGTGTAATAGTAGTCCAGTTAACTTATAATGTAGAAAAGCACCAAAGAGGTTACAAGCATTCTGTTGACGTGAGCTGTTAAGTAGCTCTTTTGACGCTGTTTTCGTTTCTTTGATTTGTTTAGCAAAGATTTATGAGGAAGAAATGGCTGAAAGTGTAGATTCTCCAGAACATAGCTCGGCCGGATCTGTTGACGACGATTTCGTGAACAATTGGAAGAATGAGCGCATGTTGAGAGAGAAAGAGATCTCTAGCGAAGTGAAATCACAGTTGCAAAGTGAGTGCAAAGCCTTTGGTGGCGAAAGACAGGCGTCAAAGAGATGGGAAGAAGCCACAAAAATGATTGCTTATCAAAGAGCCAAGGAGAAAGAAGGGACAGAAAACAACGAAAGCAAAAGGGATAAACTGCTTCAAGAACAGAAGAGATTGAAGGACGAATGGCTTAGAGAAGAAATGGAAAAGAAACGACAGCTTGAGCAGCTTCGGCAAGCGGAGAAAAGTAAGGCGAAAGAAGAAGCAGATAAACTTGTTTCTTTAGAAATGCAAAGGATACGTGAAACTGAGACTGCGAAACAACAAGAAAGTCAAGACTTCTTCGCAAAAGAGCAGGAGAGGCGACTGCAAGAAGAAGCGAAGAAAGCTGCAGAAGAACAAAAACGACTTGAGAAGCAGAAACAAGTTGGACGTGAAAAACTGAAACACACAGAGCAAGAAATGGAACGAGCGATGCTAGAACAAAAACGGAAACAAGACGAACAGAAGAAACAGGAAGTAGAGTGGGTGAATTTTACAGAAGATTTGAAACGTAAACAAGAAGAGAAAGCCAAAGTAGAAGCCGAGAAGCAAAAACACTGGCAACTGGAAAAACACAAAGAGAACGAGGAGATCAATCAGTATGTTGAAACAAGGAGAGCAGTGGAGTCTCAAAAGAGGAAGGAGTTTGAAGAAGAAAGACATAAGACGTCTGAAGAAGCCCGCTTGTTAGAGACAGAAGTAAGACAACAGTTTTTGACCAAGAAGGAGAAAGTTGTGACGGAGTTGTTACAGAACGACCTGGCGAAGGAAGAGGCAAGAAAGAGAGAAGAAGCAGATAGAAAGCGAAGAGAACGAGAAGAAAAAAGGCAAGAGGATGAGAGACGCAAGTTAGAACTAGAAGAGCAGTTAATGGCGAATGAGAAAGAGAAACGTGAAAAGGAACAACGCATCAAGGAGCAGGAGTGGAAAAGATACCTGGATCAATTGAGAGAGAAAGAAGACGAGAAGACGCAGCGAGATACAGCGCAGCAAAAGCGAATGGCGGAGCAGCGAAAAGAAGATGAAGCGAAGGCTGCAGAAATGGCTGAAACACAACGGCGCGCTCGAGAACAGCGACAGAGAGAAGAACATGAAGCCATGAAAATCGCGGAAAAACAGCGGCTTGAACAAGAACAAAAGAGAAAGGAACTGGAGAAGGAGAGAGAAGAAGCTAAGAAACGGGTATTGCAGCAAGATCAAGAGAAAAGAGAGCAGGAAAAAGCGAAACGAGACCTTGCGATGCGGAAACAAGAACAGGAAGAGAAACTTAGAGAAGCCAACAAGGAGAAACAAGAACATGAAAGAAAGAAACTCTTGGAAGTGCAACGCAAGAGACTTGAGCATAGCGAAACTCAGGCGGCAATCATTGAAGCCGAGCTGCAGGAACAAAGAAACAGGCAAGATGAACGATCTAAAGGAGCGGCCGACAGCAGCAAGATGCTGCTGGAAGAAAGTCGAAGGTTGGAGGAGAAATTTCGTGAAGAAGCTGACAAGAGAAAGCGGGAACGCGACGAGATACAGAAGAAAGAACTGCTAGAGCTCAAGCGAGCCGAGGAAGAAATGATGAAAAAAGCGCAGGCTTTGAGAAAGCAAGGTTCCTTTAGCAATAGTGACCGACAGGGTTCTTCTGCGTCTGCTGAAGGTGATACAAGTAATGAGACTCAGGGCAGGTGGAAAAAAGGTTTTTTTGCGACGCTTTTTGGGCGTAAGTAAGATTTCAGAACGCGTGTGCAAGATTCTTCCCTCGCCATTGGATTTTCTTATATCGCAAAAGTTAAGCCTAGTCTACACGAGCAATTTTTGTGTAACAATTTTTATGTGGCAAATATGCTTGATCGTATAGCTGGCACAGCACATATTTGTCAGCAATTCAAAGTTTAGTGCGCCAGTGATGACTTTAGACAGCAGAGATACGCAGAAACAAGGCGAGGCTGCGTAGTCACCGCCCCACCCCACCTC